TTGAACTTGATATTATTCCTGTTCACAAATGAGAAATAACCTCTAAAAACTATTAAAATGTATGATTTACTCATCTATCAGCGTGGTTATCTCTTCCTATATTTATTTCGCTTGCATACATTTCTGTTTCTATACATGCATTTAAGGTAAAATGTTATACCTTCTCTCTTTCCTACACGTCACATTCGAATAATTATATATCTCATGATGTACACAACATTTAAACGACGCACGCTCACAAGGTATACAACATAAAATATACAAGGTTTTCGATAAAAACATCTCATTTACTATTTATTGATAATTATCAACAATCATGGGTAATGATCAGCTTACGAAAACAACTTTAACTGAACTTACAGAAAAACGTTTGTTTTCTTTTTGCAACAATTTCATCACATCATTTTTTTTCTATTGGTTTCATGTTTTAAGAGATAAATATGCTTAAAACAGTTACCAAATATACTGAAAACGGTAAACATATTCTAAATAATATTTGATCAATCTAAATATGTACTTCTTTTCTGTTATTGTTTAGAAATTCGACAATGGCATGAGGTTTGTTTAATGAAATTCTATTTTCTTTTTTTTTCTTAAATTATGCTCGATAATAATATTTCTTTTAGGGTTTCATTCGTGATTGTCCAAATGGTCGATTGGATAAAAAACGATTTATTCAAGATTATCAGAAATTTCATCCCGAGGGAAAAGTAGATAACTATTGCAAGTATGAATTCATTTGAAATAATCATGGAAACTATACATATATGACACGTGTTCTTAATATCTAGATATGCATTTAATACATTCGATACCAATAATGATGGTACAATTGATTTTCAAGAATTTTTGCTAGCCATTGCAGCTTCAGTTCAAGGCTCTATTGATGATCGTCTTGGCTTTGCTTTTGATGTGTAAGTTGTTTACACTAATATGTTTTATTCATTCGTTCATTTATGTTAACATATAGTTATGATATCTCACATGATCGAGTAATCGATCAAAAAGAACTGACTGCAATAATCGTAGCTATAGTAAAGTATAAGTTTTATTATCATGTGCATAGAAATAATATTTGTTATTTTTAGTATGATCTCCTTGGTGAAACGGATCGTAAAGGTGATCATGATCCGAAAAAGGTTGCTGCAGATATTATAGCACAACTTGATGTTAATGGTGACAAGAAATTGAATAAGGCTGAATTCATTACTGGGTATGTTTGTACAATGTATAATAAATTATCAATATTTGTATTTTTTTTAATTTCTTTTTTCTAGATGTAAACACAATGAGTCTGTTGCTCGGTTACTGGCTCCTAGTATTTAAGCATTGAAAAAGAATTTATGTAATAGACAATGTTTTATGAAAATTTTTTTATTGTTTAAAATAAACGAAAATTGCCGTTTTGTTGCAGTTTATTTTATGCTTTGAATTCTAATGAAAACAAATTGAGTATAAACAGATATATTGAGAAAAAATAAATTGAATGCAACAATTGAAGGAGAATGGAATTTAATTAATAATGTTGTTTTTATTCATGAAAAAATTATATTAACAGCAGACTGATTTGAAAAGTAAATCTTTAAACGTAGATTTTCCATGAAGTTAATGTATTATTAGTAAATTATCATAGGAGTACTATGCGTTTTCATATTTGTATATTGACATATAAAGAGTGAGCCAGAAGTGTTGACTCGATTTCTATAATAATTTCTTCTAAGATGAAATACTTGTTTGTAAATTTGTTGCTACGATGGAAAGATGCAGTAAAGCATGCTTTATAAAATGGCTATCGATTGATCCCGTTTGCTAATCTAGTATGAAAGTTATGAGCTTAAAAATATGTTTAACAGAAAATAACAATTAACCATGAATTTTTTAGGGGCATAAAAAGAAAATAATGAACTAATTACAACTTGATTACCGAATTCACTTACAAAATGACTTAAAAGTCATAATACAAATAATTTTAGACGTCAAACATGTTTAATCTAAATGAGAAATTTCGTGAACTCATTCGTTCTTAGAAAGAAATGAATCCCACATGGATGCCAACCAAGACTGCTGCCAAATCATAAATTTATGAAAACCTTTCATCATTATGGCGTGATATATTAAGAGGAAAAGTAAGTTGAATATAACAAATGGGGGGAGCAATAAAATATCAATCAAGATGTAATACATCAAGAACTGTTAGAACAAAACTAATCAAAAGAGCAATAGAAAGATTAATATTCTAAGAACGAATGAGTTTACGAAATTTCTCATCGAGATTACATGTGTTTGACGTCTAAAAAATTCATTGTGTTATGAATTTAATGTCCGTTTTGTAAGTGAGTTGGATAGTCAATTTGTACTTTATTCATTATTTTATTTTTATGCTCTATAAAATTCATAATTAATTTTTGTTTTGTATTAAACATATTGCTAAACTCATAATTTGCATATTAGATTAGCAAATGGGATCAAGCGATAGTCATTTTATCAAGCGTATTTTATTGCATCTTTCCGTCGTAGCGACAAATTTACAAACAAGTATTTCAACTTAGAAGAAATTATTATACAAATCGAATCAGCACTTCTGACCAATCTTTATCTGTTCATTCACGCACAAGCTTACGTCCAAACAACAAAATCTGTCGATAATTTATAGTAAAATGTTTATTTTTGCATATTCATGATCATTCCTACTTCGTTCTACAATTGAAACATTCCAGACTTTATTAATTGTTTCATATTATTATAAATATTATTCCCAAAAAATATATACATACATATCTCCATAATATTTATTAGAAAATTCATCAATATTAATGAATACCTTCATAGTAGTGTAATATATGATATACTCATTCATCACTATACATATCTCTTCTTATATTTGTTTCGCTTGGATTCATTTCTATTCGTTTACATCTATTAAAAATGCATTTTCTTTTCTTCTCTCTTTTCTACATACCTGATGAGTATCGTCATATATCTAATGATAAAAAACATTTAACCAACGCACACTCTCAAGGTGTACAACATATAATATACAAGGTTTTCGATAAAAACATCTCGTTTACTATTTATTGATAATTATCAACAAGTATGGGTAATCAACATCCTAAGAAAACAACACCAACTGTACTTACAAATGAAGGTTCATATACATTTGCCAACAAATTCATCACATAATACTTTTCTAATGATTTCATTTTTTTAGAGATAAATATGCTCAAAGAAAATACAGAATTTACTGAAAAAGGTAAACATATTCTGAATAATATTTAATCAATCTAAATATATAATTCATGTTTATTATTGTTTAGAAATTCGAGAATGGCATGCGGTTCGTTTGAAAAAATTTCATTTTCTCTCTTAAAACTATATATGTTGTCATTTTTTTTTTGTTTACGTCAGAATTTCATTCGTGATTGTCCAACTGGTCGAATCGATAGGAAAAAATTTAGTGAATTCTATAAACAATTTTGTCCAGATGGCAAAGTAGAGAGTTATTGCAAGTAGGACTTTATTTGAAATAATGATTTCATCTATCCATATCTGATACTTATTTTTAATATCTAGACATGCATTTACTACATTCGATAAGAATAATGATGGTGCAATTGATTTTGAAGAATTTCTTTTAGCTATTGCAGCTACAAGTCAAGGCTCTATTGATACTCGTCTTGCCTTTGCTTTTGATGTGTAAGTTGAATCGATTTGTTTTGTTTATTCTTTTATTTATTTCGTTAACATGAAGATATGATATCTCTGATGATGGACTAATCGATGAAGCAGAATTGACTACAATAATCTCAGCTATGGTAAATTTCAAGTTTTATCATCATGCGCAAAGAAATAATGCTTCTAATTTTTAGTTCGATCTTGTTGGTGAAGCTGATCGTAAAGGTACTGATGATCCGAAAAAACTTGCTGAAAACATTATAGAAAACCTTGACCTTGATGGTGACAAGAAACTGAATAAAGTAGAATTTATTAATGGGTATGTTTGTAGGATAATCATAAATTATCAATTTTAATGTATTTCATACTTTTTTTTCTAGGTGTAAAAACGATAAATCTCTTCGCCGATTACTTGTTCCTAATATTTAAGTATTGAATAATTTACGTAATAACAATCTTTCTTGAAAATTTTTTTTATTGTTTAAAACAAAAGAAAACAAAACAAATTTATTGCAGTTTATTTTATGCTTTGGATTCTAATCAAAATCGATTGTTCTATTCATGAAAAAAAATTAAATAAATAATAGATTCAATTGAAAAGAGAAAATTAAAATGTAGATATTTCATAGAGAACATATTTTATTAATTAAGTATCATTGAAGCAACATGTACTTTGTTACTTCTATATTTACAGCAACTATTATATACATAAATAAAGAATCCTAACTTATATGAAAACAAAAAGAGAATATATAAGATTTAAACACTTTTTCAGATATTCAGAAGAAAGAAGTATTGATATTAGTATCTGAGGTTTATTTAATGTGGAATTTTGAAATGTTGAAATAGAACTGAATACTTAGGACATACCAAAAAAATAGTGTTGTTTTTTTGGAAAACAAGGATTTCAGAAAAAAAGTACGCTAACACTTCGTATATCGTCGCATTCTCAAAGTAGTGACCTTGATTATTTACACACACTGTCATCCGTTCAAACCATTTATGAAATGTTTGTTTTAAGCATCTTTACTAAATCAGGTCCATATCCTGGTTGCTGGTAGATGCAACACTTCAGAGCTGTTTGGATCATTAATATTTTGTGTCATCAAGACAGGTGAAAAATTGCATGGTGTAAAGTCTGAATTCTAAGATGATTCTGATATAATTGTGATGCTTTCCAAATCGAAATAAGTAAATTAATTTTCATGAGCATGTAGCTGAGCACTGTTATCGTGAAGTGTGATGGCATGTGTATCACATAATGGTTTCGTTAACAACAGCTTGTAAGCAACTATTAATGTAATAGTAATGATCGAATTATTACAACTGTATGACACGATGAAAAAAAAAACAGGCTCATTGCTCGTGAAAACTTAGAAGACTATGCTTTGATAGCGAAGAGGCTTCGTTGAACTAAAATTGGTGAAACCTTTCGGCTGGCTAGTCAGACAGTATCTGATGCCTTCTCACTGATTTGTGCATAATAAAATTTACATCTTTTCATTTGTGAACATAGAATCAGTATTCAAAACCTGTTTCATTCAGTTTTAATTGTTTTTTTTTTACTTACAATTATTCAAATCGAAAACAATCTTAACTTTCAAATTTTCGTTGTGTAAATTATTAAAAATTTACTAGTAACAATTTTAGTAAAACATGTAGCTTCAGTTTTACTTTTAATTATATGCAATCTATGGAGTTCATTAAATGTGATTTTTACTATGAATTTCATGAGCTTTTTATGCACTTGTACACACCATATCATTGTCATTATAACATAGAATCAAACATCAAATCAATACAAACTAGTCAATGTACAATAGTATGTACATAAAAAATCCAGAATACAGAAAACGATGTTCAAAACACGATGGCTTTAAAATATGGATGCTGATGAGTGTCTTCTCTTCGTGAACACATAGTCTAATCTACTCATCTTACAGTAGCAATAAATCTTAAGATACTACTATAAATTACAATAAAACATCTTTAAAAACTTCGCTTTGACTTCGATTGAAATTCTTCTTTAGCTGTGCACGAATCGATGAGCCTTGCTCGTGTATTCTGCGTGTTACTTAAATTAATAACAAACAAAAACAAATCAGCTAGTTACTATCTAAACTAAAATACCTTATTCTCTTTTTAACAATTCATCTTACATATAACCGAACATAATCATTTCGTTTAAGACTAATATTATTGTTCAGACCGTCTATTATTTGCAGTAGCGGAGTCAGGTATTTGGCTTATGTGTGCTGAAAGGTCAGTAGGAGTTTGGTACCCATAGCTCTGTTACTGATTCTATGCATTTAGTTTTATCTCATATAAGACTTGATTATTACTATTTATAGAAAAAACCCTCATATCAGTCTTTATAACATGTACAACTTTCTACATATCACCTAAGATCTATCTCAATCAAAAACTTGTTTGCCTAAAAACTCATATTCTTTATATTTTATTTTATCATACTTTTTAAGATAAAAAATCTATACTAAACGAAAACTAGAGTCATCAACATATTCCATTAATATTTTTGAAAATAAATTCAATGTTCATCAAAAGTTTTTACATCGATTTATTTTCAATATATGCTCTCATTTATGAAATCTTTATAAGTTATTTGTCAAATTTACTAGTTTTACATAAATCTAATAAAATTGTCAACTTTAGATCAACTGAAAATTTAAAAGATATCTAGTTTAACTTTACCTTGATTTTAATCATGTTCGCAAATGAAAAGCAGCTTCTCAAGACTATTAAAATATGTGTTTTGCTTATTTATCAGCGTATTTATCTCTTGCGATATGGTTTTTTGCTTGCAAACATTTCTGTTTCTATGCATGCACCTGAGGTAAAATGTCATTACCTTCTCTCTTTTCTTCACGGCTCATTAGACACATTACATATCTGATGATAAAAAACATACAATAGACAGACATTTACAAGTTGTGCAACATAAAAATATACAAAGTTTTCAATAAAAGCATCTCGTGTATTATTTATTGATAATTATCAATAGTTATGGATAATAAACAATCTAAGAAAACAACATCAACTGAACTTACTGAGAAACGTTTGTTTTCCTTTTGCAGCAAGTTCATCAAATAATATTTTTCGAATGGTTTCATTTTTTTTAGAGATAGCTATGCTCAAATCAGCTACCAAATATACTGAAAACGGTAAAATTATTGTGAATAATATTTGATCGATCTAAATACGTACTTTTCTTTTCTCGTATTACATAGACATTCAAGAATGGCATACGGTTTGCTTAATGAAATTCTATTTTCTTTTTTTTTTAAATTATATCCGATGGTTTTTCTTTATTTCAGGAATTTATTTATAATTGTCCAAATGGTCGACTTGATAAAAAAAATTTCACTGATATCTATGAGAAATTTTATCCAAATGGAAAAGTAGATCGTTACTGCGAGTAAGAGCTTGTTTGAAATAACTATACAATCGATAAATATATGATATTTATTCTTATTGTCTAGATATGCATTTAATACATTCGATAGAAATAATGATGGTACAATTGATTTTGAAGAATTTCTTTTATCCATGGCAGCTACAAGTCAGGGTTCTATTGATGATCGTCTTGGCTTTGTTTTTGATATGTAAGTTCAGTCTGTTTTTTTATTTATTTATTTTTTCATTTATTTCGTTAACAAACAGGTATGATACCTCTCGTGATGGACTAATAGATCAAAAACAACTGACTTCATTAATCTCAGCTATGGTAAAGTATAAGTTTCATCATTATATACATAGAATTAATATTTCTGATTTTTAGTTTGATCTTCTTGGTACAAGTGCTTGCCGAGTTGATTGTGATCCAGAAACACTTGCTGAAAACATTATGGCATATCTTGATGTAAATGGTGACAAGAAATTGGATAAGAAAGAATTTATTGCTGGGTATGTTTATACCATATAAATAAATGATCTGTTATTTGTAATTTTTTTTTTCTAGTTGTAAAAATAATGATTCTATCTGTCGATTACTTGCTCCTAATATTTAAGCATTGAAAAATTTATATAAAAACAATCTTTTTATGAAAAATTTTTATTGTTTACATCAATACAAAAAATTTTTATTGCTGTTAATTGTGTCTTTTTCTTTGTAGTCAAAATAGATTGATTATAAATAGATGTGTTCACAAAAAAAAAATGAACTCAATGAAACAATTGAATGAAAAAAGAATCTAATTATTTATGTTGTTTCTATTGATGAAAAAAAAATTATATAAATAGTAGATTGATTTGAAAAGACAAAAATTGAAATTCAGATATTCCGCAGAACAAAAAAAATGTTTTGTTAATTAATTAGCATTGAAGTACTATGTACTTTTACATCTATATATCGAAATGTAGTCATGTATACAGAAATAAATAATGCTATATGAAAAGAAAAGAAAGCATACAAGATTTAAACATTTCTTCATGCATTCCAGATAAAGAGATACTGATAATAGTATGTGAGGTATGTTTAATATGGAGTTTTGCAATAGAACTAAATGTAACAGAATAACTGTAGGGGCATGGCTATTGATTCGCTTTTCATAGAAAAGTAAAATATATAAATGATGATTGAGTTATAACAAGCTCAGTTACACACTAGATTTAACGCTGATCTACAACTTATCTAAGATCTGTACACCTGGAAAGCAAAAGTTAGCCACAGTGTTTGACCTCTTTTTACACTCGAAAACGACTTATTGAGAAACTAATTATGCCATTCGATAGCCCTCGTCGAGCTCTATCAAAATATGCCTTTTGATCATATCTGACTTTTATATGGTAAAAAATTAATCAAGTGGAATGAAAATGCGACGGAAGTGAGATTCCCAAAACTTGATTTTGTCACTGTCATCAAAATTAGTTTTTAAAATTTTTTATCACTATAGAATTACCTTTTTTAAAAAGCAATTGTATATTCTGATAGAGCTCGAAATTCTCTATCACCTTATATATATGTACCCATTCTCTTGTCTTTATTTCTTGAAATATAATTTGAGTATAACAAAGATATTCCCAGGTGACAGGTACAAAAGGAAGTGCAATTTGTTTCGCTATTTTTTCAAATTATACCTACTATGTGAATAAGTTATTATAAAAGTAGGTCTGTATTCTGACAGAGCTTGAAATTCTCTATCTTCCTATATAATTTTGTGTTGTCTCGTATTTATTCGTCACGGCAGACAAATGTGAGATAGCACAAAATTATATAGAAAGATAGAGAATTTCAAGCTCTATCAGAATATACAATTACTTCTTTAAAAACTTATTTTCATGGAAACAATAATTTGAAAATACTACGAAAATAAAGAACTTTTGTTTTTGTCTCTTGGTAATATCTTTGTTATACTCAAATTATATTTCAAGAAATAAAGACAAGAGAATGGGTACATATATATAAGGTGATAGAGAATTTCGAGCTCTATCAGAATATACAATTACTTTTTAAAAAAGGTAATTCTATAGTGATAAAAAATTTTAAAAACTAATTTTGATGACAGTGACAAAATCAAGGTTTGGGAATCTCACTTCCGTCGCATCTTCATTCCGCTTGATTAATTTTTTTACCATATAAAAATCAGATATGATCAAAAGGCATATTTTGATAGAGCTCGACAAGGGCTATCGAATGGCATAATTAGTTTCCCAATAAGTCGTTTTCGAGTGTAAAAAGGGGTCAAACATAGTGGCTAACTTTTGCTTTCCAGGGGTATATATAGATATATTTTTAATAATTTTATTTCTTTGGTTCAAATCAGGAACGGATTCAGAAGGACGACAGAGGTAACATCCACCACCACGTTTGAAATTTATATTTGTATTTCTATAAAGTATCTCTAGCAGACAAACATATCGATTTTTCACTTTTTGGAACAACAAAGGAACAAACTCTCAGCTTTTTTTGTTTATGTTAGCTATCACTGTAATTTTCACAAAGACTCAAGATTTCACCCATTTTTTGGAGCAAAATTTTAAGATTTTGAGGCATTTTCGCTATTCTTTCTGTTTTCTTTGATATATTTTATGCAAGTTTTTAGCTAAAAACTAAAATAGACAAAAGACTGAAAGTTTGTTCCTTTTCTGTTCAAAAAACGTGAAAAATCGATATGTCTGTCGGCTTTAAATACAGATTACAAAGAATATACAGTCTTCACTATAACTATGTTGGAAGTTCTTACATTGTTTGAATAACGATTCGAAAGAAGAAAAATAATATATATATAAATGCTCGTAATACTTTTATGTCTTGGTATGAATATTTTTATTTCATCAAAAAAAAACACTTTTAATTACCTAATTTTCCAAATATTCATTATGTACTGTTTTTTCTCTATGCACGGAATATATGAGATATCTTCTTATCCATAGGCGCACTGCATACACATACCTTAGTCCACACTTGCATCCAATAGTTGTTATAGCGTCAAGTGAATTGACTACAGGTAACACAATCTAGTCTGACTTTGAGGTTGACAGGATAAAAACTGAGAAAAGCTATGCACTTTTTCTATAAATATGTACCCACTAACGACTGACTACTTTGATAATAATTTAATTAACACGCTCATACACTAACTGTTTCTATTATACATTAATCTATTTCATTTTATGAAACAGCACTGAATGTTGATGACACGCGATATGTGTTTTATAGAAGCATTACATGAGAAAAAAAATGAAAAATCACCATTCGCAAAAACAAAAAAAATTGATGATTAAATATACCTTTTCTATCTATAATTGTCGTACAAGTGATGAGCAGTTGCAGAGTAACATTCAAATAATCAATGATCACAGACAAGTAAAGCTTTTCAACATTGAAACTGGTGAAATCATATCTTCAAAGTCCTATAAGTATAAATCATTTGAATGTGCTACCGATGATCTATTTACATTCCTATGATTAACATTAGTCTGGAACAAGTTCTCAAAACAAAAGAATAAAAAGCTAGAATTTCTTCTATGATTTATTTCTTGGGGAGTTTCTGTTTCCATATGTATACAATAACATTCAATAAATAATATAAGTTTGAGCAGTAGATCATAAAAAGAGTTTAAAAAAACATCATGATTAGCCTTGATAATTTGTTTCTAATCGCCGATCTCTTCGAAATTTCATAGATTTCCCGTCAAAAGAATAAATACAAAACATTTCGGGATCTATGATCATTTATAGAAAATCTCGTCATTCGTTTTGACTCTTCATCTTGATTTTAACTTATAACCTTCTATTCAAGATACTTCATCATCATCATCAATTAAAGATGTTTCATCAATAAATGATGTTTATAATTTATTATCAAATTATGCTGAAAAATTAATGAATAATTCACGTGAAAATATTCTTAAAACTTTAATTGAACCAAAAGATAAATTTCAATATCATAATTATGATTCAATGGTAGAAAAACTAAAAGAATTAAATAATAAATATCCAAATATAACAAGTTTATATACAATTGGTAAAAGTAATGAAAAACGTGATTTATGGGTTATGATTATAAGTGATCAACCACTTATACATGAACCAGGTGAACCAGAAGTTAAATATATTGGAAATATGCATGGTGATGAAAGTGTTGGACGAGAATGTTTAATACTTTTTATTGAATATTTATGTATCAATTATGAAAAACATGATTATATTACTCAACTTGTTAATAATGTAAGTATTGTAAATATTTATTTTTCAAATCAATTATAATTATTTTAATTAATTAATTTCTTTTTTTCATGTTATAGATTCGTATACATATAATGCCAACAATGAATCCTGATGGTTTTGAATATGAATATAAACAAACAGTACATGCATTAGGAAATGGTCGTTTAAATGCTAATCAAATTGATTTAAATCGAAATTTTCCAAAACTTGAATTTGAAAGATTAAATAATAAAAATAATGATCATAATATTGTTATACCAAAACAAAATTTTGATAATACAAATAATTATTTAGATGAATTAACTAATACAAAAGAAAAACTTGAACCAGAAGTTCGTGCTGTTATGCATTGGTCACTTATTTATCCATTTGTTTTATCAGCTAATTTACATGGTGGTGCTCTTGTTGCTAATTATCCATTTGATAGTAATATACAAGATTCAACTAGTAAAGAAAGTAAATCACCTGATGATCAAACATTTAAAATGCTTGCTAAAGCATATTCATATGTAAACTATTTTTATTCTATTTTCAAATATTTTAATTTGTCTATGTTGTTTTGTTTTTTTTTTTTTTTCTTCAAGGCTCATCCAAAAATGTATCAAGGTAATGCATGTGTAAGATTTAATGATGGAATAACAAATGGTGCTGCTTGGTATATTATTGATGGTGGTATGCAAGATTGGTCATATGCTTATACATCTGATATGGAAATAACAATTGAATTAGGTTGTAATAAGTATCCAGATGAAACTGATTTAAAATCCTATTGGGATGATAATAAAGGAGCTTTATTAGCTTATATTACTCAAGTATTTATATTATCATTATACAAAAAATAGATATGTTCTTTGAATATGTTTATTTTTAAATTTAGGTTGTTCATGGTATTCGTGGTTTTGTATTTGATTCAAAAACTAAAATACCACTATCAGGTGTTATGATTCATGTAAATGGTATTGAACATAATGTTAGTAGTTATCGTGATGGTGATTTTTTCCGTTTATTAACACCTGGTATATATGATATAACAGCTGAACGTGTTGGGTATGTTAATTAAATATTTTCACAGTCTTGGACAAAGAAAAAATGAGTTGCCTATGAGAAAGTGTTGATATTGAGCTGATATTTTTGATGCATACGTATGACAATAAATCTTTATCACAGATACTAACTTGCTTTTTGTTGATTCAAATCATGTAGTGAAGTTATGATTCAATCATGATGTCATAAATTTTTTTGTCGAAATCCTCACTTTAAAAGATCAATTATCGTAAATATCTCTAGTCGAAGTTTCATAGAAAATAACTTTAAAATAATTGAAATATTCTGTTCTTATAGAGAATGACAGTTGTAGACATACGAACTACTAAGATCTTGACTTTGACATGTGAGTTGTCTTCCATTTAAAATAATTCTTTAGTACTTGTTTCTTTGATGCATCTCATCAATGACTCGTACTTTTTTGGGCCCATCTTTCTTAAGTTATGTTTTGATTCATACGGTTGATAAAATATTTTGCTTCAAACCATAGAATATTTTATTATTATAATTGAGTTTCGGTCTTTGAATATTGTTTTCTTACAGTCTAGATCGAGGTCTCAGCAACTTGTCTTTCTCGTGATGCCGATGAAATTTTATTTATTGCTTCAGGTCCCGTACATATTTAGTCTTCATTTCGTGTCACAAATTTTGCTGGATCTAAATTAGATATACATGACTGTCTTTAGCGCTAACGAAAAAAAAACAAAAACTACTTGTCACATATTAAAATCGGGAACAGAACCTTTTTGTAAACTTATTTCTACTGAGTATGTTTTTCACAATCCTAACTCTAGTATATGAAAATCGATTAAGAATGAATTGATGTTTGCGACAAGCATTTGTTGTCATATGCATGCATTCAAATAATCAACTCAATATCATAAAAAATAATAGCATTTTCTGATGGATAACTAGTTTTGTCTAAAACTGTATATATATAATTCATCTTTTTTTCAATAGATATCAATCTGAAACAAAACAAAATATATTAGTTGGTAGTCAATCTTCAACATATATTGAATTTAAATTAAAACGTAAAGATTTCTCAAATACTACAAGCATTAATAATGATACAAGAGGAACATTTTCAGCATTTGTTAATCTAACATCAACAAATGTTCGAACATTATATCATCAAACTAAAGACTTCATACTTCATCAAAACCTTTTTCTTATTATTGCTGGCATATTTGGTTTGTATATATTAAGAATATTAAACTTATTTATTTTGTTTTTGTTTAGCTTTATTTGTAGCAATTATATTTATTTTTGTTGTTATATATTTAAAATTTTGTCAAAAATCAACATCACGTACTCATACTGGTTTTCAACGATATGAACCATTAGTTCAAGATGAAAATGATTTGCCAATAATGGAACGACAGAATGGAAGAAAAATTTTAAGAAATAATCATGCTCTGGCAAGTGAATCATCTGATGATGATGATGGTGATCAAACATTATTTTCATCAAAAATAAAGAAACCAATGATTCCTTAAAACTTTTAACAGTGCTTCTTGTTTTGTTGTTATTACTATTAAAGAATGTCTTTCTATTATTTTTGATTGTTCTTAAATGCATTCATTCCATTGTGAATCTCATCTATTCAAAATAGACGATATGGTATCAATGAATTTTATTTTTCAACGATACTTTTAGTGTTTCATTCACTTTTTCTCTGTCATGGGTTGATCGTCTTGTGTTTCTCTATATGATTTTTCCGTAAATAAAAATGCTCAATTATTAAGTCTCTTAATTAAATTTCTTACACATAGGTGGTAATGCCTAATTTGAAAGTTGAATTTAATCAAACATCTTATATGCAAGTTTCAAATTTCAATTATCTTTATTTCCAGGATGTCTTCATCAAGAGAGTGGCAATGTTGATTTGAAAGATGAACCGTGAAATTCAACTTTTCAAATTTCAACATTTAAGTTTCGCACTTTTATCAATTTTAGCCAATACCTCGAAAATAGTAAAATATGTGATTTCTCATCTATCAACGTGTTTATATCTTCCTACATTTGTTTAACATGCATGCATTTCTACTTCTGTACATGTATAACAGGTGCATTTTCTTTTCTACAACACACATGACGAGTATCGTCATACATATGATGATACAGAACATTTCATTGACGTAGTATCACATATTTCACAATATAAAATACACAAGGTTTTCGATAAAAACATGTCGTTTATAATTTATTCATAATTATCAACAATCATGGGCAATAAACAACCTAAGCAAACAGCATCAATTGAACTTACAGAAAAACGTTCGTTTTTCTTTTTGTAATAAATTCCTCACATCATACTATTTCAATGGTTTTATATGTAGAACTCACGTTGCTCAAAATAAATACCAAATATACTGAAAAAGGTAAACATATGATGGATAACATTACCTCAATCTATATATGTTATTTTCTTTTTTCTTATTATTGTATAGAAATACAAGAATGGTATAAGGTTTGTTCAAAGAAATCTGATTGTTTATCTAAAACTATATTCAATGATCTTTCTCTGTTTCAGAGTTTCATTCATGATTGTCCAACAGGTCGACTTGATAAAAAAAAATTCGTTGAGATGTATCGACAATTTTATCCAAACGGTAAAGCAGATAATTATTGCAAGTAAGAATTTGATTGAAATAATCCTCTAACCTATCAATATATGAGACTTATTCTTAATATTTAGATATGCATTTAATAGATTTGATACCAATAATGATGGTACAATTGATTTTCAAGAATTTCTTTTAGCTATCGCGGCTACGAGTCAAGGTCCTCTTGATGATCGTCTTACTGCTGTGTTTAATATGTATGATCATTCTATGTTAATTTTTTTTATTCTTTTATTTATTTTGTTAACAAATAGGTATGATTTTTCCCATAATAGAGTAATCGATCAAAAAGAACTGACTACAATAATCACAGCTATGGTAAGTTTTACTTTTATTATTTTGTGCAAAAAAATAATATTTGTTATTTTTAGTATGATCTTGTTGGTGAAACTGATCGTAAAGATGATCATGATCCAAAAAAAGTTGCTGCAGATATTATCGCACAACTTGATCTTGATGGTGACAAGAAATTGAGTAAGGCTGAATTCATTACTGGGTATGTTTATGCAATTATGATAAATAATAAATTTTATGTAACTCATACTCTTTTTTTCTAGATGTAAAAATAATGAGTCTATTCGTCGATTACTGGCTCCTAATATTTAAGGATTGACGAGATCTATATGAAAACAATGTTTTACGAAAAAACTTTTATTGTTTAGAGCAAAGAAAAATAATTTTATTGCAGTTAATTTTATATTCTGAACTCTAATCAAAATAAAATCAATCTTAATAGATTATGTTGATGAAACATGAACCCAATACAATAATCGAAAAAAGGACCTAGTTAAACCTGAGACGCCCAGTTGTAGTCCACCTGAGTTACCATTGATTTTTATTTTAATGTTATATGAATATAGCGTCAGATCAGATCATGTTTCTCTAGATATGCTCTAGTGAAGATTTGTAAAATATATCGCTTACGTCAACCGTTTATCATCACTAAGTGTTTATGTGATGAACTATCTTGAAGTACATGTGAACGATTGTTGCCCATCTGGGATCCAACTGAAAGCTACTGGAATTCTTTTCAATGCTTTGTGATTGTTGCCTTAGATAGAAACTTATTCTTCTTTAAATAATTTTGGGATACCTAAAAGAATAGGTCGGTAATAATAATCAGTCACACCGATTCTGTAAAAACAAGAAAGGTTACTTCAAGTACGATAAGTAACCAGTTACGTTGAATTTTGTCAAAATGTTAGTTTTAAGGAAAACAGAAATCATGCATAAACGTGGAAAATGTTTCGCAAAGTCTGTCTCCTTGTCAACAAAAAGGTTTCAGCAAAGTCCAATGTACATAGAAACAAATCGTTGTCATAACATTCCTTTGTTATATGGTAATCATCATCAAAACAGAACATTTTTTATGATACGCGTAATTGCTGCATATGCAATACACAATCTAAAACATTTTGAGAATAAGAGATTAGAACAAAGTAAAAAGGATCGAATAAATACCATTCAAATTAACTAGTGGTCTGTTTGTTTTTCTTAGACTTAATTCTCCTTCAAAGCCATTATAGTTTCATCACAAAATCATGGTAATGTAGTATTTTTTGTTTCTACTTTGTCAGACTGAGGTCCGTACAGATCTCTGATGGTCAACAAGTAGCAGTGCGAAATGTATCCAGGTCGATGATTCCTGAAGCAGTATTTCGTGAATTTCTGGCCGGAACCAGCAGGAAAATCCCAGGAATTCGATGCAGAAATCCGATGACCGTATCCGGCTGCTGGTTTTGCTAAGCTCCAATCGGTTCTGCTCGGAACCGGATAAATATGGTCACCGGATGCGTTCACCGGAATTGTTCTTCCTGTTTTGTCGATTTCCGGTGCTTTTTTATGGAAACCGGCCAGTATTTCTCGACCTGGTGAGGTGTCTCAGGTTTGAAAGTCTTTTAACGATTTATTTTCTATACTTGCTTTCATTTTTGAAACCATTAAAAGTTAGCTATTAAATTTATTCGTTTTATATAAAGCTAATGAAACTGTCAACGTCAGATCCACCGAAAATTTAAAACAGTTTATTTTTTTACTTGAACTTGATATTATTCCTGTTCACAAATGAGAAATAACCTCTAAAAACTATTAAAATGTATGATTTACTCATCTATCAGCGTGGTTATCTCTTCCTATATTTATTTCGCTTGCATACATTTCTGTTTCTATACATGCATTTAAGGTAAAATGTTATACCTTCTCTCTTTCCTACACGTCACATTCGAATAATTATATATCTCATGATGTACACAACATTTAAACGACGCACGCTCACAAGGTATACAACATAAAATATACAAGGTTTTCGATAAAAACATCTCATTTACTATTTATTGATAATTATCAACAATCATGGGTAATGATCAGCTTACGAAAACAACTTTAACTGAACTTACAGAAAAACGTTTGTTTTCTTTTTGCAACAATTTCATCACATCATTTTTTTTCTATTGGTTTCATGTTTTAAGAGATAAATATGCTTAAAACAGTTACCAAATATACTGAAAACGGTAAACATATTCTAAATAATATTTGATCAATCTAAATATGTACTTCTTTTCTGTTATTGTTTAGAAATTCGACAATGGCATGAGGTTTGTTTAATGAAATTCTATTTTCTTTTTTTTTCTTAAATTATGCTCGATAATAATATTTCTTTTAGGGTTTCATTCGTGATTGTCCAAATGGTCGATTGGATAAAAAACGATTTATTCAAGATTATCAGAAATTTCATCCCGAGGGAAAAGTAGATAACTATTGCAAGTATGAATTCATTTGAAATAATCATGGAAACTATACATATATGACACGTGTTCTTAATATCTAGATATGCATTTAATACATTCGATACCAATAATGATGGTACAATTGATTTTCAAGAATTTTTGCTAGCCATTGCAGCTTCAGTTCAAGGCTCTATTGATGATCGTCTTGGCTTTGCTTTTGATGTGTAAGTTGTTTACACTAATATGTTTTATTCATTCGTTCATTTATGTTAACATATAGTTATGATATCTCACATGATCGAGTAATCGATCAAAAAGAACTGACTGCAATAATCGTAGCTATAGTAAAGTATAAGTTTTATTATCATGTGCATAGAAATAATATTTGTTATTTTTAGTATGATCTCCTTGGTGAAACGGATCGTAAAGGTGATCATGATCCGAAAAAGGTTGCTGCAGATATTATAGCACAACTTGATGTTAATGGTGACAAGAAATTGAATAAGGCTGAATTCATTACTGGGTATGTTTGTACAATGTATAATAAATTATCAATATTTGTATTTTTTTTAATTTCTTTTTTCTAGATGTAAACACAATGAGTCTGTTGCTCGGTTACTGGCTCCTAGTATTTAAGCATTGAAAAAGAATTTATGTAATAGACAATGTTTTATGAAAATTTTTTTATTGTTTAAAATAAACGAAAATTGCCGTTTTGTTGCAGTTTATTTTATGCTTTGAATTCTAATGAAAACAAATTGAGTATAAACAGATATATTGAGAAAAAATAAATTGAATGCAACAATTGAAGGAGAATGGAATTTAATTAATAATGTTGTTTTTATTCATGAAAAAATTATATTAACAGCAGACTGATTTGAAAAGTAAATCTTTAAACGTAGATTTTCCATGAAGTTAATGTATTATTAGTAAATTATCATAGGAGTACTATGCGTTTTCATATTTGTATATTGACATATAAAGAGTGAGCCAGAAGTGTTGACTCGATTTCTATAATAATTTCTTCTAAGATGAAATACTTGTTTGTAAATTTGTTGCTACGATGGAAAGATGCAGTAAAGCATGCTTTATAAAATGGCTATCGATTGATCCCGTTTGCTAATCTAGTATGAAAGTTATGAGCTTAAAAATATGTTTAACAGAAAATAACAATTAACCATGAATTTTTTAGGGGCATAAAAAGAAAATAATGAACTAATTACAACTTGATTACCGAATTCACTTACAAAATGACTTAAAAGTCATAATACAAATAATTTTAGACGTCAAACATGTTTAATCTAAATGAGAAATTTCGTGAACTCATTCGTTCTTAGAAAGAAATGAATCCCACATGGATGCCAACCAAGACTGCTGCCAAATCATAAATTTATGAAAACCTTTCATCATTATGGCGTGATATATTAAGAGGAAAAGTAAGTTGAATATAACAAATGGGGGGAGCAATAAAATATCAATCAAGATGTAATACATCAAGAACTGTTAGAACAAAACTAATCAAAAGAGCAATAGAAAGATTAATATTCTAAGAACGAATGAGTTTACGAAATTTCTCATCGAGATTACATGTGTTTGACGTCTAAAAAATTCATTGTGTTATGAATTTAATGTCCGTTTTGTAAGTGAGTTGGATAGTCAATTTGTACTTTATTCATTATTTTATTTTTATGCTCTATAAAATTCATAATTAATTTTTGTTTTGTATTAAACATATTGCTAAACTCATAATTTGCATATTAGATTAGCAAATGGGATCAAGCGATAGTCATTTTATCAAGCGTATTTTATTGCATCTTTCCGTCGTAGCGACAAATTTACAAACAAGTATTTCAACTTAGAAGAAATTATTATACAAATCGAATCAGCACTTCTGACCAATCTTTATCTGTTCATTCACGCACAAGCTTACGTCCAAACAACAAAATCTGTCGATAATTTATAGTAAAATGTTTATTTTTGCATATTCATGATCATTCCTACTTCGTTCTACAATTGAAACATTCCAGACTTTATTAATTGTTTCATATTATTATAAATATTATTCCCAAAAAATATATACATACATATCTCCATAATATTTATTAGAAAATTCATCAATATTAATGAATACCTTCATAGTAGTGTAATATATGATATACTCATTCATCACTATACATATCTCTTCTTATATTTGTTTCGCTTGGATTCATTTCTATTCGTTTACATCTATTAAAAATGCATTTTCTTTTCTTCTCTCTTTTCTACATACCTGATGAGTATCGTCATATATCTAATGATAAAAAACATTTAACCAACGCACACTCTCAAGGTGTACAACATATAATATACAAGGTTTTCGATAAAAACATCTCGTTTACTATTTATTGATAATTATCAACAAGTATGGGTAATCAACATCCTAAGAAAACAACACCAACTGTACTTACAAATGAAGGTTCATATACATTTGCCAACAAATTCATCACATAATACTTTTCTAATGATTTCATTTTTTTAGAGATAAATATGCTCAAAGAAAATACAGAATTTACTGAAAAAGGTAAACATATTCTGAATAATATTTAATCAATCTAAATATATAATTCATGTTTATTATTGTTTAGAAATTCGAGAATGGCATGCGGTTCGTTTGAAAAAATTTCATTTTCTCTCTTAAAACTATATATGTTGTCATTTTTTTTTTGTTTACGTCAGAATTTCATTCGTGATTGTCCAACTGGTCGAATCGATAGGAAAAAATTTAGTGAATTCTATAAACAATTTTGTCCAGATGGCAAAGTAGAGAGTTATTGCAAGTAGGACTTTATTTGAAATAATGATTTCATCTATCCATATCTGATACTTATTTTTAATATCTAGACATGCATTTACTACATTCGATAAGAATAATGATGGTGCAATTGATTTTGAAGAATTTCTTTTAGCTATTGCAGCTACAAGTCAAGGCTCTATTGATACTCGTCTTGCCTTTGCTTTTGATGTGTAAGTTGAATCGATTTGTTTTGTTTATTCTTTTATTTATTTCGTTAACATGAAGATATGATATCTCTGATGATGGACTAATCGATGAAGCAGAATTGACTACAATAATCTCAGCTATGGTAAATTTCAAGTTTTATCATCATGCGCAAAGAAATAATGCTTCTAATTTTTAGTTCGATCTTGTTGGTGAAGCTGATCGTAAAGGTACTGATGATCCGAAAAAACTTGCTGAAAACATTATAGAAAACCTTGACCTTGATGGTGACAAGAAACTGAATAAAGTAGAATTTATTAATGGGTATGTTTGTAGGATAATCATAAATTATCAATTTTAATGTATTTCATACTTTTTTTTCTAGGTGTAAAAACGATAAATCTCTTCGCCGATTACTTGTTCCTAATATTTAAGTATTGAATAATTTACGTAATAACAATCTTTCTTGAAAATTTTTTTT